CATAAACCCAAGCGCTCCCCTCACTTCCACAAATGGTGTTTCACCCTACACTAGCTGACAAAATATCCTCTTGGCAGCTTCCATGGAGGTCACCTCCACGTTCATCATTTCCATAAAATGAACCCAAGCGCTCCCCTCACTTGCACCAATGGTGTTTCACCCTACACTCTCGGACAAGAAATGGATCTCGTCAGCTTTCATGGAAGTCACATCCACTTGCATGACTTCGGCAGTAGCAACCCCAGTGCTCCCCTCACTTCCACAAATGGCGTTTCACCCTACACTCTTGGACGGATGGTCCTCTTGATAGCTTTCATGGAAGTCACCTTCACTTCTGCATGACTTCGGCAGCAGCAACCCCAGTGCTCCCCTCACTTCCACAAATGGCGTTTCACCCTACACCACTCTTGGACGAATAATCCTCTTGATAGCTTTCATGGAAGTCACATTCACTTCCATGATTTCCGTTGACTGAACCCAAGCGCTCCCCTCATTTCCACCAATAGCGTTTCACCCTACACTGATTGACAATGATCCTCTCGACAGCTCCCTTAGAGTTCACCCCCACGTTCATCATTTCCATAAAATGAACCCAACCATTCCCCTCACTTCCACCAATGGCGTTTCACCCTACACTTGTGGACAAGTAATGGATCTCGTCAGCGTCCATGGAAGTCACCTCCACGTCCATGACTTCCGTAGCATAAACCCAAGCGCTCCCCTCACTTCCACCAATGGTGTTTCACCCTACACTAACTGACAAATGATCGTCTTGGCAGCTTCCATGGAGGTCACCTCCACGTTCATCATTTCCATAAAATGAACCCAACCATTCCCCTCACTTCCACCAATGGCGTTTCACCCTACACTTGTGGACAAATAACGGATCTCGTCAGCGTCCATGGACGTCACCTCCACTTGTATGACTTCGGCAACAGCAACCCAAGTGCTCTCGATACTTCCACCAATGACATTTTACCCTACACTCGTTGACAAATCATGCATCTCGTCAGCTTCCATGGAAGTCACCTCCACTTCCATGACTTCCGTAGCATAAACCCAAGCGCTCCCCTCACTTCCACAAATGGTGTTTCACCCTACACTAGCTGACAAAATATCCTCTTGGCAGCTTCCATGGAGGTCACCTCCACGTTCATCATTTCCATAAAATGAACCCAAGCGCTCCCCTCACTTGCACCAATGGTGTTTCACCCTACACTCTCGGACAAGAAATGGATCTCGTCAGCTTTCATGGAAGTCACATCCACTTGCATGACTTCGGCAGTAGCAACCCCAGTGCTCCCCTCACTTCCACAAATGGCGTTTCACCCTACACTCTTGGACGGATGGTCCTCTTGATAGCTTTCATGGAAGTCACCTTCACTTCTGCATGACTTCGGCAGCAGCAACCCCAGTGCTCCCCTCACTTCCACAAATGGCGTTTCACCCTACACTCTTGGACGGATGGTCCTCTTGATAGCTTTCATGGAAGTCACCTTCACTTCTGCATGACTTCGGCAGCAGCAACCCCAGTGCTCCCCTCACTTCCACAAATGGCGTTTCACCCTACACCACTCTTGGACGAATAATCCTCTTGATAGCTTTCATGGAAGTCACATTCACTTCCATGATTTCCGTTGACTGAACCCAAGCGCTCCCCTCATTTCCACCAATAGCGTTTCACCCTACACTGATTGACAATGATCCTCTCGACAGCTCCCTTAGAGTTCACCCCCACGTTCATCATTTCCATAAAATGAACCCAACCATTCCCCTCACTTCCACCAATGGCGTTTCACCCTACACCACTCTTGGACGAATAATCCTCTTGATAGCTTTCATGGAAGTCACATTCACTTCCATGATTTCCGTTGACTGAACCCAAGCGCTCCCCTCATTTCCACCAATAGCGTTTCACCCTACACTGATTGACAATGATCCTCTCGACAGCTCCCTTAGAGTTCACCCCCACGTTCATCATTTCCATAAAATGAACCCAACCATTCCCCTCACTTCCACCAATGGCGTTTCACCCTACACTTGTGGACAAGTAATGGATCTCGTCAGCGTCCATGGAAGTCACCTCCACGTCCATGACTTCCGTAGCATAAACCCAAGCGCTCCCCTCATTTCCACCAATAGCGTTTCACCCTACACTGATTGACAATGATCCTCTCGACAGCTCCCTTAGAGTTCACCCCCACGTTCATCATTTCCATAAAATGAACCCAACCATTCCCCTCACTTCCACCAATGGCGTTTCACCCTACACTTGTGGACAAGTAATGGATCTCGTCAGCGTCCATGGAAGTCACCTCCACGTCCATGACTTCCGTAGCATAAACCCAAGCGCTCCCCTCACTTCCACCAATGGTGTTTCACCCTACACTAACTGACAAATGATCGTCTTGGCAGCTTCCATGGAGGTCACCTCCACGTTCATCATTTCCATAAAATGAACCCAACCATTCCCCTCACTTCCACCAATGGCGTTTCACCCTACACTCTCGGACAAGTAATGAATCTCGTCAGCTTTTATGGAAGTCACATCCACTTGCATGACTTCGGTAGCACCAACCCAAGTGCTCCCCTCACTTCCACAACTGGTATTTCACCCTACACTATTGGACAAATAATGGATCTCGTCAGCTTCCATGGAAGTCAACGATACTTCCATGTCATTGATAGCAGCGACCCAAGTGCTCCCCTTACTTCCAACAATGGACATATGACCCGTCACTCGTGGACATATGATGCATCTCGTCAGCGTCCATGGAAGTCACCTCCACTTCCATGACTTCGATAGCAGCAACCCCAGTGCTCCCCCCACTTCCACAAATGGCGTTTCACCCTACACTCTTGGACGAATGATCCTCGTGATAGCTTCCATGGAAGTCACCTCCACTTCCACGACTTCGGTAGCATGAACGCACGCGCTCCCCTCACTTCCACCAACGGCGTTTCACCCTCCACTGATTGACGAATGATCCTCTTGACAGCTTCCATGGAGGTCACCTCCACCTTCATCATTTCCATAAAATGAACCCAACCATTCCCCTCACTTCCGCAAATGGCTTGGCGTTTCACACTACACTTTTGGACAAGTAATGGATCTCGTCAGCTTCCATGGAAGTCACCTCCGCTTGCATGACTTCGGTAGCAGCAACCCAAGTGCTCCCCTCACTTCCCCGAATGGCGTTTCACCCTACTCTATTGGACAAGTAATGGATCTCTTCAGCTTCCATGGAAGTCAACGATACATTTCACCCTACACTCGTGGAAAAATGATGCATCTCGTCAGCTCCCATGAAGTCACCTCCACTTCCATTACTTCGGTAGCATCATCCCAAGTGCTCCCCTCACTTCCACCAATGGCGTTTCACCTTACACTTCGGGACGAATGATGCATCTCGTCAGCTTCCATGGAAGTCACCTCCACTTCCAATACTTCCGTATCATGAACCCAAGTGCTCCCCTCACTTCCACCAATGCCGTTCCACCCTACCATCTAGACGAATGATCCATCTCGTCAGTTTTTATGGAAGTCACCTACACTTCCATGATAACGGTAGAATGAACACAAGCGCTGCCCTCATCAACCATAGGCGTTTTACCCTACAAAATTTGACAAAAAGTCCTCTTGACAGCTTCCATGTATGCCACCTCCATTTCTATGACTTCCGTAGCATGAACCCAAGCGCTTCCCTCACTTCCACCAATGGCGTTTCAGCCTACGATTCGGGACGAATGATGCATCCCACCAACTTTTATGGAAATCACCCCCACTTCCATTACTTCCGTAGCATGAACCCGAGTGCTCCCCTAACTTCCAACAATGGTGTTTCACCCTACAATCTTGGACGAACGATGCGTCTGGTCAACTTCCATGGAAGTCGCCTCCACTTTAATGATTCCCACAGAATGAACCCGAGCGCTTCCCTCACTTCCACCAATGGCGTTTTACCCTACAGGTTTTGACAAATGATGCACGACTTCCGTAGGATGAACCGAAGTGGTCCCCTCACTTCTACTAATGGAGTTTGCGGAAATCATTTAGCCATTCATTGAAATCTTTCGATTTCCCGCTGAACGGAGGAGAAGTGTACCGCACACTTTGGTACCCCGTCGCTGGGGTTGTGGCTCCGTATCCAAAGCCAACAGCAGCACCATCTCCCATGGCGCCACTATAATCTTGGTTGTGAGCAGCGGCTACTCTCACCTCTTAGGGGACAAGAGATAAAACGTCTTCCCCTTCCAAGTAAAGGACATATACGAACACACTAGTGTCAGTCCCTCGAGGGAGAGTCCATTAGGAATTTCAGGTCGCGGTTGGGTTTGAGTAGTTCCTGGCGGGCTACCGAACGAAAGGGGTTCCGTGTGAGTTCCAGGGGCAGTTTGCGGAAGTTTGCCGCAGACACGGCATCAAACAAGAGTTCACCCCCCTTCACACCCCAAAATACAACGGTGTAGCAGAGAGAGCGCTAGGGTTGATCACTGATGCCGCGCTTGCGTCACGCATCCAAGCGACGCAACTGTTCCCCGACGCACCGAACCACCCCGGGTTGTGGGCCGAGGCCATTTCGTGTGCATGCCATCAGCTGAACTGCACCGCCACTAAATCAAACGAGGGAGACAAATCTGCCTACGAGATGTTCCACGACTCCCCACCGCCTGTCGGGTCTACATACCCGTTTCTCAAACCAGCCGTGTTCAAGTCGAGAAGAAAAGCAAAGTCGTAACCCAAGGGCGAAAAAGGCTGGTACCTTGGTCCTGCCCACAATCACCCCCATGACTGCGTTCGTATGCTAACCGAAGCTGGAACCGTAATCACCACCCGCAATTTCACCTGGCGCCACGTGCCCGCTGCATCGTCCGCTCCCCCGCAGCTGCTACCTCTCGCAGATGACGAGGAGGGCGGGGAGGGCGAGAGCAGAGCGGATGCATCACGCCAAGGTTTGGGGGGGGAGAGAGACTCAGAAAGTGAGTCCGACCTCGACGTGATGGAGGCTCGTGGGACAGGGCAAGCGACGCCGCTTGTGCGCGAGGAGGCGACGGTACCCGGCAACGGGATTCCGGGGGACGGAGGCAGCGTTCCCCCGNGTCTAGCAGATGACGAGGAGGGCGGGGAGGGCGAGAGCAGAGCGGATGCATCAC